AAGGTAACTCTAGCTGACGGTATTCTAGACATGAAGTCAAATAAATGCTCCAAGTAATTTGAGGTAATAACTACTCAGGACTAGGAGAGTTAAAACAAAGTGTTGATGGTATCTGGGCAGTGAATGACGTGAGAGCTATCCAGTGGGACAGGAAGACAAGGACCTACCAGGTGATCGAACAAGATCTGAGCCGTTTCCTTTTCTCATGCTGCATGTGATGAGACAGTCTGACAAAGACTATAGTCTGAAGTCTGATGTGGGGGCTGAAGAGATGGCTCTGGTTCAGAGTCCTTGCTGCTCTTATAGTGGATCTGCGTGTTTTTGCCAGCACTGACATAGCCTCTCACAGTCCCTTGTAACTCCGTCTTCAGGAAGAAAAAGAACGTGAGTGAAGTTCCATGTTTTTCATCAGACCGTGGAAAAGCCAGGTTGTAGGAGGACACCTGTGTTTGAGTTGCAAGTAAAGATGGTAAGGGGAAAAGAATATTATGAACAAGGTAACATTCTAGAAGTTTAACTCACTCTCCTGTGCAGGGAACATTCAGAAGTTGACCTCAAAGCTACTGACGGCTGACACGGGGTTGTGAGGAAAGGAGAACACAGGAAGTGTGAGCTGTGGCTCTGTGGCCAACACAGCTTTGAAGGCGCAGGCATCTCCGGTTTCAGATATGCTCCCTGTCAGCTGCATGGCCTTGTCAAGTACTTAAACCACTTACCTCTGAGCCTCAGCTCCTTGGCCCCACAGGAGGTGTAATTCTCTGTGTCTGCAGCTGAGTTTCAGGGACAGTGAGGAGGTGTGGGTCAGATGCTTTCACTGTGCTCCAGTTTAGCCCCTCCGTGCTAGCTGTGCTGATTCCCTGGAGACTGACTGGTGTTTGACTGAGGCAGAGGAACATGGAGAAGTCATCTTAGGCCTTCAAGACTGGTGTAATTGGTGATGCAGAGAGAAGGAAGTCACCAGGAAGAATTGGTTTGAGGAAGAGATTCTATATTCTATTTTAGGCACACTGAGTTTGAGACCCTGACAGGAGAGGCAAGGGGAATGTGTTAGCTCCCAGGGGTAAATTATGTATGAGCCACACTTGACTAGACTGATAGTTTTCTTTTGGTGGAGAGTATGGTTTCAGGAACGTCTTGTGCTTTGGTTCCCAGTATCTCTGGATGTCTGGGAGGAGATGCTTCATCCCGATACCCTTCAGAGCAGCCTCTGACTCTGAGACAGATGTCTGGGATCTGGCCGCCTCCCCTGCCTCAGCTGCCTTACTGATGGCTGATGGCAGGAGGTTTATTCCCCTTCCTAGCTTCTCTTTGTTTCATATTAGTTGAAATTTTGATAAAACAGTTTGCTTTGTCATTTCGAAGTTCATTCTGAATCAAGCTCCCCACCCCTGTGCACAGGCTGATGCTGAAAGTGGGGTTTTAATCAGTGCTATTTAAAGAAGTTCATTTGTAGGTAATTAAATAGCATGCTTGTTATTCCATATTTGATAGGGAATAAGAAAACGTCTTTAAAAACTTTTTAAATGCAATGAAAATTAATTATATGCCCTTTCTTTCTAAGTTCTTTTGTTAGATTATGTAGAAAATAGATTTCTTCCTTTAAAAAAAATCAGTATCTATACTTTCCTATATGTAAGATGGAAGACAGGAGGTATATTTAAGTTATAGCTTGTGTTTTTGGCTTCACATAATTGGGGAGATTTTCATGTTAGTGGTTTCACTTGTTCCCAGGCCTGTACAGAAAGTAATCTTAGCTGTGCTGAAAGCAGCTCTTCTCTAGGTAGTAGCCAGCATTTCAAATGGAGCATATTTCAGAACAGCAGAGCCCTGATATTAGTAGCTACTAACTTACGTGATTTCAGGTCAGAAGTTGTCCAGATGTGTTGTGGAGCTGTGAGCCCACAGTGAATCCCATCTCATGGGGAGGTTTATAGAGAAACTGTTAGGTTTTCTCTTGGTTCTTGAATACCTTCATAATCTCTATGTAATACTTTGTCTTCTCGTTTTCTCTGGACCTGAGTACCTTGCACATAATGAGCCTCAGTGTGTATTTACTTTCAGTGACACATGTCAGTGTATAATGATGGTCGTTGGATGTATATCATTACAAGATGAGACTCACTGCTGTAGGACTCTGTTACTAGTGGAGTGGTGTCATCCATTTGATTGATGGGGGCTGGGTTCTGTGGAGGGAGATTGTAATGCTATGGGCTGGATCTTTTCTAAGAACTCTTTCAACCTTAAAATTGCAGAATTGTAGGAAATGGGCTTGGGCGTGGACACCTTTGGACAAAAGCATTGATTTGTTGTGGTTGCAAATATTTATTGTTTGCCTTTTTGTGCTTTGTCAGAGAAACAAAGATGATAAAGCAGGGATTGCAGACCTAAATAAACATTGCTGCCAGTATTCAGGAATCCTTGCTTTGACAGTGAGCAAATTCAAAATTCTGGGCTGAATCACAAATCTCATTTAGTAAGTGGGTTCACACATTTGGCAAAGACTTGTTGGGAGTGTTTAGTTCATTGTTGAACATCCTCCTGCTGCTTCTTCTTCGTTCCTCTGTGTATAGCTATTGTGTTAAATTCATTGTGTTCTATGAACTTTTTTCCAAATCTCTTCTCTCTCTTCTGTTTTAACAAGTAATTGTATGCTTTTTTTTGTTGTTGCTGTTGTTGTTTTGTTTTTTTTCCGAGACAGGGTTTCTTCTCTGTGTCCTGCAACTTGCTCTGTAGACCAGGTTGCCCTTGAAATCACAGAGCTCCACCTGCCTCTTCCTCCTGAGTGCTGGGATTAAAGGCATGTGCTATCACTGCCCAGCTACAAATGATAATTCTTGGAGAACTGGTTTTGGCTTTCTTTATATTATTATTTAGAAATGTCTCTTCCATTATTGAATTAAGACACCAACTAAAAAGCTGCCTCACTTTTCACTAGCCCAGGAGGCTGTCGTACACACATTGTCTGAGTTTGTTAACTTTTTTCTTTACCCAGTTTTACTCAGGAATATGACTGTGATGGGTTTGATGCCAACCCTTGTCAGTGTAGCTCCTTGTTTTCTTTCATATACTTTTATAAGTATACTTTTTAGTTTACTTATGTGCATATATGTATAAGTACGTACATATACTTTATTAATATAAGTTTATATACTTTCTAGGCATTGAAATGCAGACAGTTGCCACTTAGTATTATTATTCATAGAATATTTTCCTCCTTTATGTTTTCAGGACTTTAGGGAATTTCTTTCTCATTTTGTGCTTGAGAGAATTGAGACGATTTTCTTGGTGTCCATCATAGAGAGGCCAGGGAACAAGGAAAGCTGATGTCCATGAAAACAGAAATACTAGAGTGAAGGATCCCGTATCCTTTCAAGAATCTGTAACATTTGGATTGTCACCCTGGTTTTCTAACCTGTCACATTGACCATTTTTTCTGATCCCTAAAGAACTGGACATATTTTAGGAAGGAAAGATTAGACATTCTTCCCAGTAGACTGCACTTCCTTCTGCTGGGTCAAGGTCATCTCTTCAGCAGAAGTGCTGTGGCCATTGTTTTCTCCCATGCAGCTGAGGCCCCTGCGCAGTCTTTACCTGTCTGGAAGGTATCTGGGCATGCGGAAGGGGCTGAAATGTGTAGTTGGAAATGGCTTCCCCTCCGTAGTCACTTTGCAAGAGTCACTTGTAGCTTTGCTGCCATTTTCCCCCATCTCTCCTTCTCCATTGACAACCAGTGAGCGAAGCCCCTGGCAATGTGATGACTAATTATTTTAGGAAGCCTGAGTAAGTCTCCATGGTCGCTGTAAACATCTAAACTTGAAATCTGTTTTGTGCAAGGCAAAGACAGTGTTTGCATGCACCAAGGGAAAACTGGTGGTAGAAATTGCTGAACAATTTGCCTCTAACTGTAGTGAGAAATACTCTTTTTGGGAAATAAGATAGATCAATGTAATTCTTCTCTCCATGTAAAGCTGTTATTGAAGTAACAACTTACTGTATTTTGCAGTCCTAAAGTAAGAAATAAAGCATTTATGCCTTGGAATAAATTGAGAGCATCCTATTACCTGTAGTAGCAGGCAAGTTCATATTTTTTTTAAAGCCTCAGGCAGTAACATCAACAGGCTACTTTTTCTTCCTTATTTTCTAACCCAGAAGCTTCATTTCTGTCAAAGAGCCTCCATTTTGCTTCTGAGTATGTCTTCAGGCCCCTTCCTGTTATGACTACATTTTGGAACACCTCTTGTAAATTGTATTTACTATTAATGCCTAGGAGGTACCTTGCTGTATAGACAGAGCATGGGCTGCCAGTTGATGTACAGTCTGTTTTCTGTAGGTCTCTAGCTCACATTCAGACTCTAGATCCATTAGGTATCTGGAATTCTCTGACACTAGAACAGTTCTTGGGCTCTGTGGTATCAGGTCAGAACTCTCTGCTTTGGTTTTGAAGAGTCCTAGTGCCTACAGTGCTGCATGTACATGCTCACACAGTCTGAGGTCCTTCTGACCTGGCAGCGTAACCCTGAGTGTGGGTTTTCATCCTTGCCCTTGGCTACACTGCAGAGCTGTCTCGGTTAATCTGCTGGTTCAGGATTGCCAGGTACTCATACAAGAATAACCTTCAGTTTCCCTTGAAGCATAAAGTGTGCCTTTCGAGCCCAGTGAGTCAATTTTCCTGTCCAAACATTTGCCACTTATTTATTAACAAGTATTCATTGAGTTCCCACTGTCTGCAAGAGTCTGTGCTGTGGGTTTAGCAGGAGTAAATACTAGCAAATTATCCATTATTTAAATAAGTTTATAATCCAGAAAGGAAGACAATATGGGAAGTTTCATGTGTGGTAGGTGAAGGCAGGGCTGGTTTTATATTTGGTCTTTTGTTTTTCTCCATATTGTGTTAGTTGTTCTTCATCACTATTACCCAAATAATAAACAGAAACAACTTGTAACAATAGACAGAAATTTTATTTTGAATTGCTGTTTCATGTGGGTTACAGTTCATCGTGATGGGAAAGGCATGGTAGTGGGAACATATGGTAATGAATCATAAGGCAAGAAAGGGCAGCTGGACCAAGGACAGGATCACTGTCAAAGACTGACCCCATAGTGAACCCTCATTCAGGCAGGCACCACCCCCTAAGGCATCATAGCTTTGAAAACAGCACCCCATGCTGGGAACTGTGTGTCTGAAACATGGACCTTTTAGAGATATTTCATATTTAAATCATAACATCTGAGAGAGAGAAAATGACCAAATTCTTAGAGGTCTGAACACATATACCTTTTAGGAGAAGCAAAACAAGAAACATAAAGCAATATCAAAGGGATGATGGGAAATAAGGAAAACTTAACCCTTTTTCTCTATTATTTCTTTCTTCCTTTCTTTCTTTACTTTTTTATTTTTCTTTTATTGAAAATAGATTCTTTCCTCATACAATATATCTCGATTGTAGTTTCCCCTCTCTCTACTCCTCCCAGTTCTCCCTACCTCCTCTCTCCTTCGATTACTCCATTTCTGCTCATTAGAAAAGAACAGACCTATAACAGATAACAACAAACATAACAAAATAAAATGTAATAAAACAAAGCAAAAGCCATCGTATCAAAATTGAACATGGCAACCCAACAGGGGGAAAAGAGTCCATGAAAATAGGCAAAATAGTCAGAGACCCACTTTTTCACACTTTCAGGAGTTCCATAAAAATATTAAGCTAATAGCTGTAGTATATATACAGAGGACCTGGTGCAGACCCATGTAGACCCTGTAATTGTTGCTTCAGTCTCTGTGAGTTCATATGTGCCTTGCTCAGTTGATTCAGACGGCCTTGTTCTCCTGGTGTCCTCTCTTCCCTCCATCTACTCTTTTGGCCTCCTCTTCTCCAGGATTCCCTGAGCTTTGGGGGAAGGATCTGATGGAGACCTCAAGTTTCCACTCTCTTTCCACGTAATTTCTGGCTGGGGGGGGGTGTGGGGGGGTCCCTGCATCTGTTCCCATCTGCTGTAGGAGGAGACCTCTCTGATGTCTGGATAAGGCACCGACTGATCTATGAGTACAGCAGAGTATTATTAAGAATGGTTTTGTTTATTTTTTTTAGAACAGTCATGTTTGGTTTTACCCTTCAGTTATTTCCTTAGAAATACGAAGTGTGGAAGTGCAGGTTTTGAAGACTGGCCTCTGCAGGCATCAGAGCCATGGAATGTGCTCTCACCACACATTGTGGAGAACTTTCTGTAATTAAACACATGCCTGCATTCTGATAAAATGTTTTCATTTTTGGAAGCCAAACTGTTGCCTCTTATTTCCATTTGTGATATAATAGAGTATCTGATAGTGATATAAAAAATAGGGGACTTAGATAAAATAGTAGTAGAAGCAGCTAAACATCAAATTTAGCTTTGGCAAATGACCTGAGTAGTATCCTTTCAATAGGAAAATACAAGACATGTCTATTAGTTTCCTATCGTTACCTAATAACTTACAGTTTAACAAACCATTGATGTTTATCTTACTATTTTATGGGCTAAAGTCCAAGGGTTGATAGGCCTGCCATTCCTCCTGAGGCTCTCAGGGGAGAAGCTGCTTCCTAACTTTTCCAGGTTCACAACATTCCCGGGCTCATAGCCCCTTCCATCTTTAAAGTAGCAAGTGACCACCCTCCCAGAGTCATGTGTGTTCTGACCATGGTCAGAAAGGCTGCTCTGCCTAACAGACCTGAGGGATAATGCAAGATGTCCTCCCTGTCCTGAAGTCCTCAATTTCCCTGCACTTTCCTGTTGTTATGTGAGGTCACAGATCTTCAGGTTCTAGAGATTGGGCTGTAGGTGTCTCAGGGGTCTAGGCCATTGTTCTGTCCACCAGAATGTGGGAATAGCTAGCAGAAGCGAATTTCCCTCAGAATGTATTTCCCTAATGTGCTTCTGATTTGCTATCAGGTCTTTAAGAAATCTTCACTATAGGTACCTCCCCAACCTAAGAACATACCAATTCAGTTTGGGTCTTAATCTCTAGCAATGCTAATGCTGGGTCTCTTTTGTTTGCTTTGATAGTGATAACCTGCTAAGAAGAGCAGCCTGTCAAGAAGCTCAGGTAATGCTCTTTCCTGTGATAAAATTAAGTCGTCCCTTATCTCCATGGTGCAGGAGAGACAGCTCCTCCAAGGGACTCACCTGGGGTCTTGCATCAGTGTAGTTTGACTCTTCCTCCACCTCCAGATGGGTCAGGCTGTCAGCCAGTTCTGAGTAGGATGGGGGAAGTCAGCCGTCTGGTGAAGAGCGGTTCTGACACCCACCCTTTTAGACTTGTTTACTTCTGGATCACCCCAAGAACACATAACTGGACTGGCTGAAGAGCTGGGAATTGGTGCCTGTTGCAGTTACCCCTGAAGATCTGGCTAAAGCCTGAATCATTCCTGATTGAATCGCCCCCAGGGATAACGGTTCAGAGCAGATGTTGCTCTGGGAGCCAAGTCTTGTTAAAATTGTTGACTCCTCCTTTTAAAGCCCGTCTCCCTGACATGGCTGATCCATGGCGTCGCATTGCTCTCCAGTTCCCTGGGATTCTGCTGTAGCATCGTTTCTCTGACTGTGGCGATGATAGTTGAATTGCAAACCTTTCAGATTTAAGACCCTGGTTTGCTCTCTTCCCAATGTGTAGTTTATACCCTGCAGATGGAGTTCTGTGACTCAGTGCCTTTTTGTTCTATGCCATTTAAGCTTATGACGTCTAAAGAGATGTGTGAAAGTTAAAATGACAAAGAGAACACATTTAGTAGAAGTGGGTGGCAGACCTCATGTTTGTTTCTGAAGTGTTTTCACTTCAATAGATACTATTAATAAATCCTTCTTTGGTTCTAAATATGCTCTAAGAATTTGATTTTATTTCTGCACAGATAGACCATCTAGTGTAGCTTAGAGTTGTTTAAAAATCAATTTAAATAAACTTTAAATTTTCTTTTAAAGATCAGCATGGTAGTTTAAACCTATAATTCTAGCTTCTGGGAAGCTGAGGCAGGAGGAGTATCACAAGCTTACCTCCTGGGTTACATAATGAGTTTCAGGCCAGTCTGAACTGTACTATGAGACCCTCTTCCAAAAAATAAGCTTTTGGGTTATTTTTTAATTGACCCAATATTTTTATAGCTGTTTTAGTCTCAGTATGATTCTCCAGTACATGTATGCAATACTTAATAACCAAATCAAGTAACTGTTGAATATAACTTAATATTGAGTTCCAGGTAGTTGTGCTGATACACCCTCCTCTTACTAAGGTGCATCCTCCGCCTCTGTTCTGAATCCCATCCCTCATACTTTCCCAGGAATAAGGTCTTGTTGGGTACTTTCCCCACCTACTGACCTCCTTACTGTTCTAGTCCTCCACTCCCCTGCACCTGTTTAGCTCCTCCCCTGTGACTACGGTGGGTTGATCCTCACAGCTTTCTTGACTTTTCCTCTGTTCTTTTTACAGTCTAAATTACTGAATGGCTAAAATAAAAGTCATGTAATTCAACTCTAGTCTCACACTTAATCCATTATGGAACCTAGACTTGAGTTATAAGTATGGTTAGCAACTCTAGGGACTGAGAAATGAGGACAAGGAGGGGTAATTTAGTGCTGTGGCTCTGGAATCTGGTGTCTTATGGTTTCTATTGCTGTGCAGAGACTCCATGACCACAGCAACTCTTATAACGGAGGACATTTAATTGGGGCTGGCTTACAGTTCAAAGGTTTAGTTCATTGTCATCATGGCAGGAAGCAGGGCAGCACTCAGACAGACATGATTCTGGAGAGGTAGCTGAGTTCTACATCTGGGTGGACAGACAGTAGGAAGAGAGGATCAGACAATAGAAAGAGATCACCATGCCAGACCTGGATTTAGCATCTGTAACCTCAAAGCCCACTCCCCCAACAAGGTCACATCTTCAATAATGCCCTATCCTATCAGTCTGTGGGTGCCGTTTTCATTCAGACCGCTGTATTCCATGCCCTAGCCCCCATAGGCTTGTAGCTGCATCATAGTGCAAAGTGCATTTAGTCCAACTTCAAAAGTCCTGTAGTCTATCACAGTCTCAACTATGTCTGAAAGTCCACAGTCCAAAGTCTGTGATACTCATGGCAATCTCTTAACTATAAGCCCATGTAAAATCAAATTTTTTTAAAAAATGTAGATTACATACGTGTAACATGCAATGGCACAGGATATACATTACCATTCCAAAATGGAGGAAAAGGAGTATAGTGAGGAAATACAGGATCAAAGCAAGACTGAAAACCAGCTGCTAAACTCCAAACTCCGCATTTCCATGTTTGATATCAACGTGCTCTTCAGATCTTCAGCTCTCGATAGCTTTGTTGACTGAAAGACTGTTTTCTCTTGGGCTGGTTCAACTCTATGTCAGCAGCTTTCTTTGTCAGGTTTCCCATGGCTCTGGCATCTCCAACATCTTGTGTTTCCAGGGCAATCACCTTTACAGGCTTCACCTTTACAGCTTCACACAATGACCTCTCTAGGCCTCCAAGCAGGGATACCCTGGCATCCTGGCATCCGCAGCTTTCCTTAGTTGAGTAGGGAGATCCATAACTCATTTCTTCTATGCTTATCTTTAAAGCCAGAACTATGTGACCGAAGCTGCCAAGTTCTGCTGCTTGCTGGGGCTGGAAAATGGCCCCTTGTTGAAATACATTTTCACTAGCTTTCTGTTTTCAATAGTTTCCTCACTGCCTAAGCTTGACTGTCCTGGAACTTCCTCTGTATGCCAGGCTGGCCTTGAACTCTGAAACCCACCAGTCTTTACTTCCCCAAGACCAAGGCATCTCTTAGAAAGGAAACCATTTAATTTGGGCTGGCTTACAGTTCAGAGATTTAGTCCACTGTCATGGTGGGAACTATTGCAGCACTCAGGGAGACATGGTGCTGGAGAGATGGCTGAGAGTCCCACATCCAGATTGGCAGACTGCAGGAAGAGAGTGCCACATGGGGGCCTGGCTTGAGCACCTGAAACCTCAAAGCCCACCCCCTAATAACACACTTCCTCCAACAAGCCAACCTCCAATAATGCCACTCCCTCTAAGTCTAAGGGGGGCAATTTTCATTCAGACCACCACAGATAGTGAAATTCTAAAATGGAGTAGAACCAACCAAATTATGATATTTGGAGATTTTCCAGCAAAATTTCAAGATCTGAGTAAGCGTAAAACTGATGATGGGCCAGGTAGTTATTTTTGTAAAGAAAATATCTTTTTGAAGTATTTGGAAAGGTGTGTGTGTGTGTGTGTGTGTGTGTGTGTGTGTGTGCGCGCACGCGCATGTCTGTGCACTATGTCTCTGTGAGCCAGTGGTTAGGATTGGTATGTCATCCTCAATAGATTTCCCACCTCATTTCTGATTCATTGTTTCTTACTGAACTCAGAGCTTGCTGTTCCAGCCAGACCCGCTGCCCCTAGGACCTGCCTGTTCACCTCTCAGCACTGCGGCTGTAGACTACATTGACACTCTCCACTTTCTACCTGGATGCTGGGGATTGATCTCAGTTCCTTAGACTTGCACAACAAGCGCTTTATTCTTCCTTTCCCCACTGAGCCCTCTCCTCAGCTCAGAGGGTGTTTATTTAGAAGCAAGAATGGACAACCAGGAAGGTGGTAGATTTAGAATGAGTTATTTAATACAGTATCTTTGTATAACTTTTTTCTCTAATCTTTACTTTTTAATTCTCTTCTAGAATTCTGCTGTCATAGCCCAGCTTTGTTTCTTCTTCCCCTCCTGAGACAGGGTTTCTTTGTGTAACAGCCCGGCTGTCCTGGAACTCAGTTTGTAGACTACGCTGGTCTTGAACTCACAGATATCCACCTGCCTCTGCCTCCCAAGTGCTGGGATTCAAGGTGTGCGCCACCACCGCCCAGCTCTTGTTTCTGCTCTTCCTGTCGTTCTCCCCAGCTCTCCACTCCAGACAGCACAGTCTGAGCTGCCATCCTGTTGCCAGTTTGAATGCTCACATTTACTTCTCTGCTTCTTGAGTCCACTCAGCCTTAGACCAGAGGAGTGGAAAAGGCTTGAGTAATGGGTTTCTTTTGTGTATGCAGATGTGAAAATTCACTGGTAACATAGATTTTGACAGCGGTGGGGAAGGATAAGTTTTAGTAATGAACTGGAAGAGAAAGGATTGTCCACTGAAAACTGAAGCCACATGGGTTAAACTTCCCTTGTCATAGCCTGTGGCCTTGCATATTGTATGCTTGTAATAAAGTCAGCAATAATTTCTAGAAGATACTGCCTCTGGTAAGTGAAGCAAGGTTTTTATCCTAAAGTAAAATGGCTTACTGTCACTGAATAGCAGTGTCCCTGTGTTACGTTGCTTGTGGATTCTATTATGGAGATCATGAATGAACTTTTGTTCTTTGGCCAGAAGTAAATTCTTTAGGGGTTGATAAAATGTAGGTGATGATCATATCATTAATATGTGATAATTATTCAGATATTCATCTGAGTAAAGGGTGTTGTAATTAGGAACGGGCTGCGTCCCGCCGCCCGGCTAGCTTACACCCGAAATAATTATACAGAAATTGTATTCATTTAAACACTGCCTGGCCCAATAGTTCTACCCTCTTATTATCTAACTCTCACATCTTGATTAACCCATTTCTATTAATCTATGTTCACCATGAGGTCATGGTTTACAAGAAAGATTCTAACCAGTGTCAGTCCCAGACAGGAGCTTCATGGTGTCTGCCACATTTCCCTTCTTTTCAGCATTCTGTTCTGTATACTCCACCCACCTAAGGGCTGTCCTATCAAAAGGCCAAGGTAGCTTCTTTATTCAACCAATGAAATCAACACAAATACAGAAGGACCTCCTACACCATTTCCCCTTTTCTGTTTAAACAAAAAAAGAAAGGCTTTAATTTTAACATAGTAAAATTACTTATAACAAAAGTTATCAAGCAAGAATTACAGTTACAATATTTAGATATATTTTATCTTTTATCATAACAAAGAAAAACTATAACTATAACTAACCAATCTTTAACTCATCAAAGACTCCAGAAGGATATAATATTACCTAAGTAAACAAGAAGTAGGCAACTTCCAAAACTCTAGAAATGACAGAGATATCTCACTGCCTATACAGTCATCCAAAGTTCCTCTGTACCATTGGGGCATCCATCTTCAGCCTACACGTCCATTGTCTCCAGCAGACATTTCCATGAAGCAGGAAATTTCAAAGGCAGTTCAGTCACTTTCTTCTGTGTCCTGCAGAATGTCTCACAGACTCTTATGAATCAGGAATCCTGAAGGATCATCTCACCTTTAGGCAAGTTCAGCAGTCCTCTCTTTGCAGGTTCTTGATGTTCAGTTTATGCAACAGTCCAGGCAAAAGCAGTTTCTTGCCCTAATAGCTAATCGACTCCATAAGGAACCTCTTTGATGCCCATCTTCCTTTTGAAGTAGATTGGTGCTGCCAGGAGCAGATGTATCTCATTGTCACGAAAAGTCCTAATTTATTAAAACATTTTAAATGCCATATTCTGTAGTCTTTGAAAGATATGAAGAATGCCTATGTAACTGAAATATATCTCTATATATCTAAAAAATCTAACTAACGTGACTACAAGCTTGACTATTATTGATGATTATCCATTAACAACCTATATTTCCTAATTATATATTCTTATTCTTTTCAGGTGTTTGGTAACCAGCTCATTTCTCCCAACACACATGTGAAGAGAGCCACAGTCTTTCTCAATCCTGCAGCCTGCAAATGGTATTTTAGCTTCTGAGTTATTCTCAAAGTGGAAGTAACAGCTTCCTGTGAAGTATGATGGAGGAAGGTCATTGGTTAAATAAAAAGAAACTGCTTGGCCCTCATTGGTTAGAAGATAGGTGGGAGGAGTAAACAGAACAGAACGCTGGGAGGAAGAGGAAGTGAGCTCAGACTCCACAGCTCTCCTCTCGGGAGCAGACACCTCAGAGAGATGCCATGCTCCGCTCTCCCGGGCAGACGCACGCGATGAAGCAAGCCACCAGGTAGGACATGCTGAACCTTTCCTGGTAAGACCGGTGCTCACAGATTATTAGAGATGGGTTGATCAGGATGTGAGAATTAGCCTGTAAGGGCTAGAGCTAAAGGGCCAAGCAGTGTTTAAATGAATACAGTTTGTGTGTTGTTATTTCGGGGCAGAAGCTAGCAGGCGGCTGGGGTGCTGGGGATGCAGCCCCGACACTCCTATTACTACAAATGGCGCCCGACGTGATGGACTAAACCCACTTAAAAAACCTGAGAAGACTTAAAAATAAGGGAGAGAGAGTTTAACACAGATTTTTGCTGTTTGTTGGTGGCGTGCTGTAGAGAGATTTCCTGATTCGGCAACAGTAGCAGAAAAAACGCTGTGTCATTTTAAAGCCCAACTTCCTGGGGCTGTGCCGCCATTGCGATCTCTGTCTGGCTTCTACGGGAGACAGAGCTTTTGAATAGAGCATTTGGAGTAAAGTGCTATGATTTGTTTGATGGCAACTAGACTCGCTGTGTTCTCGGGTCTGCTCTGCTTGTTAGAGGCAGGCAAGCAAGCACTCTCATCTAAGAGAGACTTCCTGACTCAGCTTTAGCTGCAAAGCTTGCAGCTCTTTTAAGAGGTCCTGCCACGAAACACTTAAACAGTGTTGATGAAAAGCTGAACGCATGCTTTTCGGTTTTCAGCCGTAGCAGGAAAAAAGCTGCGCCGTTTAAAAATGCCAGCTTTCTGGGCTGTCCTGCCAGGGCAAACTCTGACTCTTTTACGCAGGCGGTTCGTGCCGTTTGCAAGCACAGGCTGCTGAAGCTCGCTTGCTGGCAGGGACCTTGAAATGCCATAGAGTTGTGGCAGTAAACATGGCTACAGCCAGTACCTCAGCCATGAGGCTGGAAAGCTAAGGAATGGGCTACATCTAGCCGGCAAAGCCACGCCTTTAATCATACTGAGATTGCTTGGTAAATTAAAGACTCATGTGGTCAGAAAAACAGAGAGAGATACAGTAAAGAGAGATTCAAAGACAAAGAAAAATTTTAAATGATTTACAGCGTGTTAAAAATATATGCAGACTAAAAGTTGAAGTTCTTAAAGTAAAAAACAAAACAAAACAAAAAAAAAGCAAGAGAGTTGTTGTGTGTGGTAGTACATACCTTTAATCCCAACACTTGGGAGGCAGAGGGAGGTTGACCTCTGTGACTTCAAGGTGTGGTAGTACACGCCTTTAATCCCAGTGCCTAGAAGGCAGAGACAAACAGATCTCTGTGACTTCAAAGTGTAGTAGCTTACGCCTTTAATCCCGAATGCCTGGGAGGCAGAGACAGTCGGATCTCTGAGAGTTCAAAGACAGCCTGGTCTATAGAGTTACTTCAGGTCAAAGATACAGAGAACCTGTCTCAAAAAGCAAAGAGTTAAAAGTAAAAATAAACAAAATAGAGGTTAAAACAAAACTGCACAAAGATGGAAAATACACAGAGAATTTTGATACTGTATGCTATTATGCTCTCTTTGAATTATTTGAATGCTGAGGAAGGAGCAACAGCTGCTAAAAGATATTTATTTATAAATGCTGCTGAACTAATCCAACATAGATATTTTGAATTTGGATCTAAGGATATGATACTTTGGAAAGGAGTTTCTTATTTTGTTTTCACAGAGGGTGAGAGTCTGTGGATTGCTTCCATCCCAATGTGGTATGATAGACCAAGTCCTCCTGAATGGTTCCTGTGCACGCCTTCAAAAAATTGCTTCGCTCAACTGCCAACTGAGATGAAACTAGCACACAGGTTATACCATGAAAGACCTAATTAACGATGCCCCATTCAGCAGGAAGCAGTTTGGAGAGAAAAAACTGCGCCCATGTTCCCAAATATGGTTTATAAACGTTCTTTTACATTTAAAGGGGGATATGATAGAGATATGAATAATTTACATTGATATGGATTTTGTTTTAGTAATTTAAATTTAAGGTCAATTTTGTTATATGTATATGTGTTTCTGATCTTGATTAAGGAACTGTGATTGTGTAGTTCATTTAAAAATGTAATGTATAATTAGAAATATAGATTGTTAATAGATAATCATAATAGTCAAGTTTGTAGTCATGTTAGTTAAGATTTTCTAGATGTACATAGATATATTTTAGATAGGCATTCTTCATATCTTTCAAAGATTATAGAATATGGCATTTTAAATGTTTTAATAACTTAGGACTTTTCATGACAATGAGACACTCTGCTCCTGGCAGCACCAATCTACTTCAAGAGGAAGATGGGCATCGAAGAGGCTCATTATGGAGTTTGATAGCCATTTGGGCAAGAAACTGCTCTTGCCTGGACTATTGCATAAACTGGACACAGAGAACCCACAGAGAGAGGACTACTGAACTTGCCTAAGGTGAGACGATCTTTCGGGGTTCCTGATTCATGAAAGAGTCTGCAAGACGTTCTGCAGGACACAACAGATAGTGACTGAACTGACTTTGAATTTTCCTGCTTTATGGAAATGTCTGCTGGATACCATGGGCCTGAAGGCTGAAGATGGATGCCCCAACGGTACAGAGGAACTTTGGGTGACTGTCCAGGCAGCAAGATGTCTCTGTCATTTCTAGAGTTTTAAAAGTTGCTTTTTTCTTGTTTGCTTAGGTAGTATTGTATCTTTCTGGAGTCTTTGATGGAGTTAAGAATAGTTAGTTATAGTTATAGTTTTCCTTAGTTATGATAAAGATTATTGTAACTTTTACTTGATAACTGTTTCGTTATATGTAATTTTGCTATGTTAAAGTTAAAGCCTTTTTTTTTTTTGTTTAAACCGAAAAAGGGGAAATGATGGAGGAAGGTCATTGGTTAAATAAAAAGAAACTGCTTGGCCCTCATTGGTTAGAAGATAGGTGGGAGGAGTAAACAGAACAGAACGCTGGGAGGAAGAGGAAGTGAGCTCAGACTCGACAGCTCTCCTCTCGGGAGCAGACGCCTCAGAGAGGGACACCATGCTCCCGGCTCCTGGGCAGACACACGCGATGAAGCTCCGACCCAGGCCCGGTAAGCTCACCTAGCTGTGCTACATAGAATATTAGAAATGGGCTAGTCCAGGTGCGAGAGTTAGCCTAGAAGAGTCTAGATAGAAATGGGCCAAGCAGTGATTAAAAGAATACAGTGTCCGTGTAATTATTTCGGGGCATAAGCTAGCCGAGCAGGCAGCCGGGGTGCTGGGAACGCAGCCCCGCTGCTCATATTACAACAGAAGTAACCATAGGTGATCTGACCTTCAACAAACACCGAGGCTTTGTGTCAGCTTGGGAGTGATCCTCTTGGGAATGATTGTCACCCTGCTTTACTAATGGTGTCAGGCTGTCACCATAGACAAAGATGTACAGAGATGACCAAGAGCACTGTGGGCTCAGGAGGACAGTGTGCTCTTTCCAGAGAAGGGAATCCTCAGCTGGTCCTGGAGCAGCATGTTCATTATTCCCAAACGAGGATGTGGCCTATAGGGCTGTGATAGGGAGAAGAATGGCCGTGTGCCTCAGTAACTGATGCACAAATGGATTGTGCGGAGGGAATTCAGTGTGAGGAAAGCTGGGCTTTTGTTTACAATGCTGTCTTTCTTGGCCATGTGTACTCAATGAAATGCAGGGGTACTGTGAAGGCGAGGAGAGGGTGCGGAGGAATCAAAGTGATTATAAGTGAGGGGAAAATGCAGAACAGAAAAAAGAAAGTGTACAGTGTTAGTTAGGCGGTTGGGGAGATCAATACAAAGACACTGACCATTTTGGAAAAAAAACAATTTAAGATTTACATTTTATAAAATAGAATGAAAGAATTCAAGAGGAAAAAAATGATGCCTATTGTTTTCCCAGTGTCTAGATCAGTTGTGCTTTCTGAGTCTTGAGTAATTTGTGAATATTTATTAGGTTGGATGCTATAAAATTGAAGTCACATGACATTGGTGATGAGTAGTTGGGGTCGTGTTTTAAATGTCCAGACAAAATGTGGAGCAAAAAGGAGCCGGGGCCCCAAAGTCAGTTTGGGGGATATGTATGATCTTTTGGGGAAGCTTGAGCTTGACGCCACACTAAGTGGTGTATGCACCCGTTCTGTAAATTATGCCTGATTACGCAGATTAACCTTGCTTAATAGACTACTGCTAGGCTTGGTTCAGGCCTCTACCCTTCTTCATAAACACCAGGTTTCACATCAATAATAACCCATATTGCTAGGTCCTTAAACAGCAGAGCCAAAATACCCAGTCCATCAGTCACTGTGACCTGGCGAAAGCAGCAGAGAGTTCAGTGTGTATGCGTGTGCATGTGTGTGCGTGCGTGTGTGTGTGTGTGTGCCTGTGTGTGTGTGTTGTTCTGCTTCTAGAATATTCCTTTTTTCACAAACACGTGTGTGTGTGTGTACATGCATATGTATGGGCACATTTGTGCACATGTTTATAGAGGCCTGAGGTTGATGTAGGGACTGTCTTCAGTTGCTCTTCCACTTTATTCATTGAGGCAAAGTCTCTCAGTCAAACTCAGAACTTGCCAATATATCTGCTGTGGGTATCCCAGCCCTATCTTCAGAGGCCTGGCTGCTATCACATCCACTGGGCACTTATGTGAGTTTTGGGATCAGAACTCCAGGTCTTCACACTTGAGCTTGTTCAGGCAGCCTTAGCTATTGAGCCTTCGCTCCAGCCCCGATTTAAATTTTTGAAGTTAAAGCAGATTCTTGTTTGCAAATATAATACTTTATCTAAAGGCAGGTTAAGA